GGAACGGGGCAGCGCGCTCGCTCCTGTGCGCTCCGCGGGAGCTGGAGCTTCCGGCTGATGTCCAGCTCTCACGGAGCCTACTGGGGTAACTCGGTCCTACGTTTTGTGGCACTCCTGAGTTGCCTGTTAATGAATGAAACGGGGAAAGAAAGAGCGAGCTTCTTGAAAGATTCTTCTCTTCCTAAACCTAAAATTAAGGTGTGTCTTTTCAGTGTTCCATTTGGGAAATATTCATACCAGAGAAAATAGCTGTCAGCTGTTGTATACGGTGTCTGCTTGTGAACTAAGTGACCAGTTAATCCTTGTAGCTGGTCCCGTGCCAGCGAAAACACTGGGGTGGAAATTAATGTTATTGTTCAATTAACTAAGCATAATGTACCAGAGTTAGGCCCAGTACGCAGGCCTCCATTAACAGTGTTTTAGAAAGTGTTTGCTTTGGTGGCTTTTTCTTCCCCTGCAAACATTTGCTTAACAACACCTGATACCCGTTAGGCAATATTTGCTCTAAGGTGTAGGTGTAAAGCAGCTGTAAACATTTTATCCCCCCTTCAGTGGATCATCAACATGATTCTTGCTGCTACAGTATTATCAAGAATATATAAAGTTTTGGATAGTCTGTGGTTTTGTGTGGCTTGGAAAATAAATCAAGAAAATAGCAATAAATTAAGAACTTTATATGAATAGATGGCATTTAAAGGGTTTTGCTTTGCACTAAGAACTCATTTGATCATGGGAAGGCCAAACCTTGGTTTAATAATATCAAAACAAGACAAAGCTTTAAAAAAATAATTGAAAACATATTCTGACCATTTTGTACAAATCACTAGTTTTCCTCACAGTTCCACATACTAAAATACAGCAAAAAGTTTTATTTCATGTATTTCCTCAAGTGGCTTTGATGTAGTGCATTTTTGCAATGCTTTGTATAGAAAAGGAGGTGGGAAAAAGGCAGTTGAGGAAGCACGTCTCCTTTGTTAGTTTAAACGAGTTATTAAACGTAGTATTTCAAGAGCTGTTTCTCCATCTTTCCTCTGGTGGTTCTTAGAGCTAGAAAAGTCGTGGTGTCTCAAGACTTGTATAGGTTGCCAGACACCACAGGCAGGAAAAGAGAAGGCTCACATGTCAGTTGTTGATTGCCTCTTGGATGAAGCAGGCTCATCAGTGCTTCCAGGCACAGTGAGAACATCACCCGAGCTGCCTCCCCACAGAAACCTGTGAGATACATACAGATATGACCGAATATTAGAGCCTGATACAGAACTGAAGTTTTCCTCTTGCCGCTCTGATGATACCAGATAATGGTGTCACCAGACTTTTGGTATCCATGTATTCTCTTGTGCAGAAAAGTTTCTTATGTAGCCACCTCACAAATGAACATAAGCTTTTCCTATGCTGTGGTATTAGTACTAATACTGATCTGTCTGATGTGGTGATACATTATTTGCTGTATACTCTTAAAATCCTGCTATCTGGCAGCATCTCTGTTTCCCCTTGGCTGTTAGCCTGAGCGCTTCACTTGGAACACTTCAGGATCATCCTCATAGTCATCTGTTCCCAGCCTTGGTCAGCTCTGGGGGGCAGGTCTCGTTTCTGCCAGCCTGGCAGCAAGAAGGGGGCCGCAGCAGCCTGAGCTTCGGCTCCTGGCAGAGGTGCATAAGGATGCATCACGTAAGCTGTAGGCAAGAACGGGCTACAGAATGAGAGGACTCGGCCTGAGCTCCATCTGCACCGTGCCCTGGATTAAGACGGTCTCGTGTGTGAAGGGAACAACTGGGTTTGGGTCCTTTGAGAATACTGCTGCTTTGGAAAGGCATCTAGAGCTCAGCAGCGTTGCTGATGTATGAATGCCTCTTCTGCTTGCTGTGACTGAAAATGTGTTGTGCACGGTATTAGAGGCAGCACGGCAGCCAGACTCAATTTCCAAGTGAAATGTGCAGCTGTAATGAGAGAGAGTTCTGCAAAGACCAATTACTTGTGTATTCTTCCTATCCTTTGTACAGGCAGCACTTAATGAAGCATACACGTTACCCGTGTCCATCCTGAAGAGAAATGAACTGTGAAAGATTCAAGCAAACATGTTCCAACTGTTCATACAAAGGACTGCGTAAGTCAAACGTTGTGTTTCCCCCCCATTTGCTGCTGCTCGGCATGTGCTTCACTTAGTTTCCTCCAATTAAAATCTGCAAACAGAAAAGCTTTCCAGTGCTAACAGGCTCATGCTTTCCTGGAGGTTTGGAGCCACGTGTTCCAGGAATGGCTGGGTATGCCACACCGATACAATATAAAGGCAACGTCAATCACCCTCTCTCACTTTTTAATAGCTCCCCTCCATGGTTCTCATTCTCCATCACTAGAAACTTAAGATTAAAGGAACTTTGCTGTATTTCAAGTACAGTTTAATCCCTTAAGATGGATCTCCTCCATAGCAATGGCGTGCTTATTATTCAGCATTTACAGAGGGACTACAGGGCTTACCAGGATTTCCTTAATTTTATGTCACACGTTGGCGATCCCCGGAATATATTCTCAATTTATTTTCCTCTTTGGTTTCAGCTCAACCAAGTGGTTGGTACTAAAATGATATGGGTGGCAGTCATTGGTGATTGGTTCAACCTCATATTTAAATGGTAAGAAGCTGTATTTCTTTTAAAATTTAATATTTTTAATGGTGGTTACTGTGTGTGCCTCAAGTTTAGACAATTTTCTGTGAATAATGTACAAGTAGACTTTCCCCTGTAATTATACAACGGGAATTCACAAAGAAGATATTTAAGGTATGTTTGAAATTACATTTTGGTAAGACAAGAAGAACCTCTGAACTATTGTAGAATAGTTTTGGCAATATAGCTTTTCATATTCATTGTAAGATTATTGATTATTGATCGTGTTTTGCTGAGGCCTTCTTACATAAAAATATTTTTGTTGCATTTCTGCATTTTTTTTGTTAGGATTTTATTTGGCCATCGCCCATACTGGTGGGTGCAAGAAACAATGCTTTATCCCAATCAGTCCAGCCCATGCCTTGAACAGTTTCCTATAACGTGTGAAACTGGACCAGGTAAGAAATGTTGCCGATTACCTTGGTACATTTAATAGAGGTGGTGGCTTCTGGGGGGAGAGGATGTGGCTTACGGAGATCTTGTATGGTGTACAAATCTCAGAGCTCATATTTAAAATAGCTCTGAAGCACAGGAGAGGAAAAGGAAGAAATAAATGTGATAGCTATTCGATTGCTCTATGACAGGAATGTTTACCTCATTGCCTTGGGACAGTGCAAGGGCGAGGGATTCACTCTAACTGCTACTAGAATGAACCAGCGTCTGGGGAAGGAATGTTCGCAAAACTTGTGTCGTAGGTTCAAAAGGAGCGATTCACCTGCTTTGTGAGGTCACTTTTAGGAACAGTTTGCAGTGCCAATGACATCAGCCTGGGGAGAGAGATTCCACATAGTTTAAGAGTGTTCCAAAACCTAGCAGGAGCCTGCTGAGTTTGAGGACTCGTGCACTATTGCAAGAATTATTTAATCCACAAAAACTAGTAGGTGGTTGAGTGTAAAAACCAATCATTTCAAGAGTTGAGCATGTCATGTATTGCAAATTGAAAATGGAACCCCTCTTGCCGGCACCAGACTCCGGCACTGAATCTGCGTGTGTCAGTATGTGTACAAATACAGGGGAAAAAATGCCTTTAAAAAATGTGCCTTTTCAGTGCACTTTCACTTTTTTTACATCTCATGGTCTTCTGT